AAAAAGCGAGCAGGACTGGCCTGTAGGTGGCGGTATATAACGGAATGTTGTCGGTCATCGTCAGGGTAGCAATAAATGTCAGCCTTGATGGGTACGAATGAGGGTCAGACAGGAGTGGCTTGCAAATGTCATTGTATACGGGATTCACAATTGAGATCGTCTGGGCCTGATTGGTACGCCGCGTCAAAGAGGCCAGACGAGAGGAACCGAGATGCGATCGGCCACAGCACGCTTCAAGCTCAGCCGGGCAGTGAGGAAGGGAGGTACGACCGAACTACTAGTAGACAGTGAATACTGAGGGTTCCGCCGTGAGCGTCGACAGACCGCATGAGGTCGGAATGCGAGAGATGACATCAAAAACCGCGAAAATTGTCGCTATGGGGGGAAGGATAGCAATGGATTTAGAAACCAATTCGAAACAGGGGTTTCTAATGATATAATTAAGAGTTACCACTTAATCTACCACTAAATCCCAGGAGGACCCTTCTCGAAGTCAAGAATCTGAGTGTTCGGGAATGAGACCGTTAACAGTGCCTTTATGCTTTCCGGTGTAAGATGGTTGCGTTATTTCGACTTGAATACCAGTAACTTAGGCGATAATCTAATTTCAGGCGGAAGATTATTCCAAAGGAAGGCATATTTGGAAGCAAAGAAGAGGGAGCGCTTAGATGTAGTACAAAAAGGTGGCGGAATCACCATGCAGGAGTTGCGCGTGGCATAAGACCGATCTCCCGGAGTGAGAGTGTCAATGTGCGGAAGACTGGAGCTAGAGTTGATGCGAAAAAGGAAGCAAAGGCCAGCTTCGAGTCTTCTAACCCTCAAAAACTTAATGTTCGCCAGCTGACATCTCTGAGTATAAGAAATACTGGACGAAGCTTGAGAGAACAGTTTCCGGGTGAAAACCCTCTGAACATTTTCGATTTTATTACGGTCACAGGCGTTCATTAAACCGAAGAAAGGACAGAAATATTCGAGGACTGGAAGAACAAACGTTTGATAAGGTCTTAGCTTCATTTCCGGAAGGAAAAAATTATGCGATATGAATCCACATATCTGCGCGGCTTTGGCAGAGATTCTATCTGCATGAGGTGATAAAGCAAGTTTATTTGTATAACTTAGACCTACGTCCTTTATGGTGAGGCATTCTGAGAGTGGGTTATTCTGAAAAATTATGGGACCAGGAAGTTTGGTAGGACCAAAAGACATGAAACTACACTTGCATGATGAAAACTCCATCTGCCATGTCGAACCCCATCTGCTTAAACGTAGTAAATCGGCATTAATGTTTTCAACACAAACGTTTGTGGTGTCCTTAGAGTATGAGTAAACACACTTGAGGTCATCGGCATAAGTAAAAGTTTGCGAATTTCCGAGTTCAGTCGAAATATCATTGATGTACAGAAGGAAGAGTAGCGGACCCAGAACCGTTCCTTGAAGTACGCCACTTGTGATCGAGTGGGGTGTCGAGTAGCTATTACGGACCATGACTTTCTGATATCGGTTGGACAGATAGGACCTGATGAAGTCGAGTAGAGGCGGCTGGATGCCAAGAGCTTCCAATTTTACTAAAAGACGTTTATGGGGCACCTTGTCAAAGGCTTTGCTAAGATCAAAGTAAATAACTACCACTGACTGCCTCTCATTACGAAGAGAAGTGATTAGATTAAGAAAAACCAAGTGGCATGTTTCGCAGGATCGTTCAGATAAAAATCCATGCTGACTAGAGCTCAGAAGCCAATTAGCTAGACAGAAGTCGAGAATTTCATTGAAAATAATCCTTTCAAGAAGTTTTGCTAGAGACGGCGTTTTGTGCACGCCCCGATAGTTATTAACATCGGACCGAGATCCTGACTTGAAAACGGGAATGATAATTGACGTTTTCCATGTTTCAGGAAGGAATCCTTTTGAAATATAAACAAAGAATAAATGACTGAGCAATATGGGAAGGTCGGACGCTTGTTTAATAATCGAATTCGGAATCCCGTCCGTTCCGGAGCAGTGTGAGTATTTCAAACGGCTTATGTGTTTCTTAATGAGATCTGAGGAGACATCAATTGTACTAAGTGTCCTATCTGAAAGTGATCGAAAGAAAGGGACCGGATCGGACTCGGTAGCAAGGTGTTTTGCAAAGAAAGCACTAAACAACTCCGCCTTGTCAGTGTCATCGATGAGGAAGACTTTGTTATCATTTGGCATGGGTGGAAGTTCGTGACCACGCTTAGAGGAGGACCGATGACGGAAGATGTTAGCGACGGATTTGCCAGGGTTCGAACCACTGAGAGCAATTGATTCTCTTTGCCTGTCGCGCGCTTGGCGCATCCTTGAGGCCATCTCAAATATCTCTGTGATTCTAAGATGAACAGATAAGAAACTAGTGGATGGGTCACGCAGTTGTCGCCTCTACTTTTTTAGTCTGTTCTGAAGAAAATGAGGAACAAGGGAATCTGAAGAATTAGACTTGAGATATCTACGCGGCACAAACTCTAGAATGTCCTTGGAAACATTGGACATGACATCACGAAGAATGGTTACATCGCTACAAGTGAGGAAGCCACACCAATCCAAGGATCTCATATAGTTATTTATTAAGTCGCTATCTACGCAGTCGTAGTTCATGAAAGTCTGAACAGCGCTTGTCTTTTTTGAAAAGGCAAGCGGTAGGCAACAATGAATTAACACGTGGTCACTGTCAAAGAGGTCCTTTTTTAAAGCAACAGAAAGAGGAGCAATGTCATTGGTAAAGAGTAGATCTAAAATGTGATTATCTCTTGTTGGAGAGCGCACCAGTTGGGACCAATTAGAAAAATTGACAATATCTTGAAAGGGCTGGAATCTGGGTGGACAGCTATTGGAAACCCAGTCTATTTCAGGAAGGTTAAAATCCCCACTGATTATTTTAACATCGAAAGCAGCTTCCGAAATTAATTTAAAAATTTAACAGAGTTGAGAATCATCACTGGCTAAAGAATTTGGGGGATTGTAGATACAGCCAATAATTGCCTTTCTTTGCGGCGAGAGAATAACAGATGCAAAGCAGAAGTTTCCCGTGAATGAGGAAACATCCAAGTAATAGGGAGAGTGCTTTAGGTAGGATTTAAGAGAAAGAAGACAACCACCCCCACGCCTAGTCGTGCGGTCTTGGCGGTAAAAATCGAAGTCATCTATGAGAAGGGCAGAGTCAGGAATTAGAGAATGCGTACTCATGTGTTCGTCCGGTGTGACCGTGTGCGCCAGCCGCTGGAATCACCATATGAAGGACCGTTCCGCGTGTTCGCGCGCAACGCCAAAACCTTCCGGATTCTTCGCAGTGACAAGGAGGATGTGATTAGTGTCGATCGGTTCAAGGTTGCTGTTGCAGAGGAGCCGCCGGACCTGTCACAAGGACGAAAATGTGCTGACCCCCTAACCCCTGTTCCTCCATCTTCCCCATCCCCTGCTCATTCACCCTGTCCACTACCTCGCCCTTCCCTCCCTTGCCCTCTATCCCTCCGTCCCGTATACTTTCTTTGCCCCCATGTCCGCAACCCACAACTGCAACTACTCCTTCGTCAACCAACAACACTGTAACCGCGAGCCATACTCACTCTACTCCTGTGCCCCCTGTATATATCACCCGTAGTGGACGCCATGTTCACTTTCCTGACCGTTTGGTTACTCATGTTTTTTAGACATCAACAGTTCCTCCGGCATCGCTTCGCGCCGCCTTCGGTCTAGCCTGGGGGTACTGTGGCAGTTCGCGTCTCCTCGCCCTCCGCCTTTGTCACGCTGCCGTCCTGTCCGCCTCACACTCCGTGTCGATACGCTGCTGGGACGCGCGAGTGCTCGAAGCCAATCAACGATGTACCCACTCTGATTGGCTGGCGACGTGGAGACAACGAAGGGCGAACACACGCGCTCACACAACACCCCGAGGACGGACACCGACAACAGCTTGCTTGGAGCGCGCTCGCGGCGACTGCCTACAGAGCCCTTGTGTACGCACTTCCACAGGCAGTAGAGGTTGTCCAACTCAAACCGTCTTCCCTGACTTTTGATTGGGAACCTTTATCGTGTCGACCACACTACATTCGACAGCCACACAGCCGCAGCTGCCCATGCGGCCACTTGAACGCACCTCCCCCTGAAACCAGCAAAACAAGCCACTTGGACATCACCCTTCAGTAAATGCAACACACACGTACTGGACAGCACTTGAGCATAGCCCACGCGCCTAAAAAAGCGGCTGCCACCACTATCTCAAGGACTCTCAGGCATGACTGGACGCAGTCAACACCAGCCATGGCTTCGCCAGTGGCCACCGCCACCCGATAGGACAACTCCGGGTTCTGTGTAAAATAAACCCCTCATTCTGGTGCGTCCCGTCTTTCTGAATCTTGGGATCTAATTTGACGATTGTAGCTCACATGCTGCACACATTCACACTGCTTAGTTGCAACAAAGCCTTCGAAGACACAACAGTTATGGAGACCGTTCACTTCACTGAGGACATGGTTCTGACGGAGTTAATGAGGCTAAAGGAATCAAAATCACCAGGTCGCGATGCGATTCCGGCGAGGATTTTGAAGGAACTGGCCAGCGAGTTAGCTAAACCACTCTCCACGCTTTTCCATACATCCTCCGCGACCGGATATCTGCCACCCGACTTGAAGTCGACAAGGATTACGCCGCTGTATAAGGGCGGAAGTCGGCTCTCTACAAAAAATTAAAGACCGGTCAGTCTCACCTCCATATGCTACAAGATTATGGAGAAAATAATAAAGCAACAACTAATGAAGTTCCTTGAACAAAACCATCTGCTTTCCGATTCCCAGCACGAATTCCGAAAACGCAGATCCTGTGGGACAAAGTTGTTCTATTGTCTGGAACACTGGACTCGGGCTATTGATAGAGGACATATGGTGAATGCCATCTAAATCGCCTTTAAAAAGGTCTTCGACAATGCGCCTCACCACCGCCTTCTATAAAAACTCAGCCGTATAGGAGTGCGAGGTAAGCCTCTGATGTGGATTCGAAGCTTTTTACCCGGCCGCTCTCAATCCGTCCACGTCAGTGACCAGCAGTCGGCTGAGGTTGCCGTTAGGAGTGGTGTTCCCCAAGGCTATGTTCTTGGCCCTACACTGTTCCTCGTATACGTCAACGACTGCGCGAACGAACTGGATTGCGATGTCTCAATGTTTGCTGATGACATAAAGATCTGGAGTGTCATAGGAAACGAATTTGAGGATGAGCGATCGCAGACAAATCTAGACCGCCTCGAACAATGGTCAAAAGACTGGCTTCTACCGTTCAACGTAAACAAGTGTAACTTCCTACGCGTCGGCGGAACCAGCTCTCCTATCCGCATGGTCAACCGTCTCGCTGGCAAACCACTTCAAGAAGTGGACGCCCAGAAGGACTTGTGTGTATGGATCACAACCTCGTTCAAGACTTTTCTGCCCCACTCAAAGATAGCCAAGTCGGCGATGTCCATTCTATACCTCGTCAAACGGGCGCATTCCTGCTTTGATGAAGATTGCTTCGCCAAGGTCTTTCAAACTTTTGTGCGACCGCACCTGGAGTTTGCTATCAAGCATGGAGACCCTCGACCGCCAAAGACCTCGGCATGGCCGAAGAAGTTCAACGGAGAGCAACGAAACTTGCTTCTACGAAACGCGATTGGCTAATATTGACCTCTTCTCTTTAAGTTACAGACAGCTACGTAGGGGGCTAGTACAAGCTTTCCGCATCGTGCGCAACTAGGGCTTCTGTCTCGCATCAGAAGATTTCTTCAATTTGGCGCCTACGACTGGACTGAGAGGCCATCCATTCAAACAACGTGTGACTGGTGCCCGGCTAGACACACGAAAGTTCTTCTCCAACAGAATGGCTGCAGCATGGAATGCTTTGCCCGAGGATGTTGCTATGTTGGGGTCCGTAGACACTTTTAAACGGAGGCTAAATCAACACCGGAGCGCGCACCACAGTTGCGGCGGACTACAGCCATCTTGATAGCCAACGTTGAAAATTTAGTGTTATGACGATGCTGATAACAATATTCAAATAAAATATGCATATGTAATTTATTAATGTTGGACCACGTCGCAGACCGCTGCTCGCATTCACAATGATGCTTGCAGACTAACAATTTTTACTTCTTTTCCTTTATCTTATGTGTGCTCCAACTATCTACTGTATTTAATCAACAAACCGTGTTCAAATGCCTTTAAATACTGTTAACGCATAAAATTCTGAGCTCATCTGCACAGTTTGTGTTGTTCCCCTTACACTTCTTTCATGTTACTTCCTTTTCATTTTCTCTATATATGTAGTGTAAACGGCAATTAAAGCAACAAAGAAAAATAGGTAAGGCAAAAACTTAACTGTAGGTGGGAATGCTGTGTTTCTTACAGACAAAATGGAAGAAAAAATGGGAAAACTGCAAAAGTAAATAACTGCACAGACTCACGAAAACGAGGCCTCCCGCAATATTAGTCCCCGTGGAGTGAATAATCCGGATGAAGTCCGGAATGT